AAAAAAACCAAACAAACAACAACAACAACAACAAAAAAAAAAAAACAAAAAAAAAAAAAAAAAACCCGGGGCGGGGGGGGAAGAAGACACAACAATTACAATTCCTTGAAGTTGACACGACAAGCGTAACAGAAAGGACATTGTTGGGTGGGAGGGGGGAGAGGGAGGAGGGAGGGAGTTTTTCATGATGGACCACAATAATCAACCACATTGTATATCAACAAAATAAAATTAAAAAAATTAAATAAATAAATAAATAATAAAAAAATAAAAAATAAAATAAATAAAAGAAAATTGGGCCCTAGGGCATACTGGTGTTTAGAAGTCAGCGATGATGAGAAGGAACCAGGAAAAAAAAAAAAGCCCACAAAAACAAAACAAATACAAAAACCAAAAAGTAGGAAGGAAAACCAGGGGACTATGGGAAGAAAGTGCATCAAGAATGGGACAGTGGCAGCCATGTCAAATTCTGCTAAGATGTCAGGTAAGATGGAGCTGAGAACTGACCATTGGATTTAGTCGTGTGGAAATCAATGGTAACCTTGACAGGGCAGTGAAGTCAGGGGGTAAAATCCTGTTGAGAGGAAAAGAATTGAGACAGGGAGTATACACAACCCTGTGTAGGAGTTCTGTTGTAAAATGGAGCTGGGAAATGGGAGAGGAACTGGAAGATGATGTCAGACTGTGAGTTTTTTCTTTCCAGCGTAGGAAATATAACAGGATATTTGTAAGAGATATAACAGGATATTTGTAGTTTATTGTATCCAACAGAGAGAGAAGAATTGAAGCAGTAAGAGAGAACTTCTAGAGCAATGTCCTCAGGATCCAGCACACAAGGATAGAGGATAGACTTAGACAGGGGCATGGCAGTCATTTGCAGTAAAGGGAGGGGAGGCAGTTTATAGTACAGAGGCTGACAGGTGGGTTGATACTTGGTGGGAATGTGTGGAGGTTTCTATCGAGTTGAATAAACAGTCCTGGAGTTCAGGATGGAGGCTGGAGCTAAAGATATACAATAGTTATCAGTTGGTAGAAAGTAGTTGAAAGTATAAAGCAGAAAAGGATCTGCTGTGGGGGAGAGAGGGCAGAGTAAGGATTGGAAGACAATTAACAACAATGTGACTACTGACCATAAGTGTATTAACAGTTCAGAGAAAGGAGTAGAAACAGGACTGGAGAGGTAAGGAACTTGAGCCAGAAGGGTGGGATTTGGTGAGGAATCATTCCAGGATCATGTTAAAATACAGCAAGGAGAGTGATTTTAGCTAAGAACAGGAATGATGAAAGGCTCTGAGTGTCTGCCTTAATTTGATACACACATGAATAACATCTTAATTGATGAAAGCAATGGTGAAGGAAACTTAAATGGTTTATAGTATTGATTGCAGCTTAAGGTGGGAGGAGTGGGGTCAGAGAAACCAATGGATAGTCTGTAAGACTAATTTTTTCTCACACAATCAGGACAGGAATGGAGAGGAGGTTTTGCAATGAATATAGGAAATAAACACTTGGGGAGAGCCAATAATTCTTAGAGGTTTTCTTCCAGGGTCTTTTCTCCCCTTTAAAAATTTGTCCCTTACATATTTAAAGCAGAATTATATTTATTTTAATGCAAAACATCAGACTCTAAACTTCCTAACCCCACAATAATTTCAAACTGTCATTTAGATCGTAAACAAAAATTAAAAACAAAAACAAAAAAGAAAACCAAAAAAACCCACAAATACCATTTTTCAAATAATTTATTTCTGCAATCCTGATTCTTTATGCATGTATGAAGCAAAGGCATTACTAACCACATTTGGTAACAAGATATTGAATCCAAGTTTCTTCTGATTTCAACATAATAAAAAATGGGTACATTTTCTGGAATTAAGGACTGGGAGAATGAAGGGTAATTCCCATGTTTTTCCTTCTGATCTATTCAGAAAGTCAAGTGAACCAAGACCAAAGTGAGAATTTCAACTCGAAATATAAAAATATTTTTCTTCTCCTCACAAAGCAATACACCTGTCCTTACAAAGTTTTCTTTTTGTCCTCAGATATTTTTTCTGCAGTGAATTTATGTCTGAAGGAAATCATTTCAGGGCATGAGGACACATAAAAACACACCAGGGGATCTGGGAGAAGACATATTTGGATAATAGAAAAGGTTATTGGAACTGAGGGATGTTGAACTGTAGGATTGAACCAAACAAAAAGGACACAAATCTTCAAAACCTACAAGTTTCCATAGATCAGGTGAGAGGTGAGAATTAGAAAGAATCCTAAGAGAGAGAACCAGCATTAATGATTCTAGAACAGAAGATTTAAACCTTAAAATAAACTCTTTTCATTTTTAAATCAACTTGTATTCAAACAGGGGGCTTCAATTCAAAACTAGGGCAGGAAATTGAGTTTAACAAATCAGAAAACATTTACAGAGTTTAGCACAGTATAAAATTTCATAAGAGCAGCAGAGAATTGTAACGTGGCCCCTGCTCTTAAGGAAATTAGAAGGATGGTATGTCTAAAAAAAAAAAAAGAATTAAGAGATAATTTAGAGTTCTTTGAATTATCTAATAGTCATATGGAAGCAGGATTGGAGTTACTGTTTTATGCTATAGAAGATACACAAAGTAAACTGCATGTCAATGTAAGATTTGGGATGAATCCCAACCTCACATAGAACGGGAAGACTCGCCTCGAAGAGACCACAAGACCACGAGCAATGCAAACGGCATGAGGTTTATTATTTCCAACACGTTGGGTTCTCACCGCCAAGCTGGGGTGAGACCCCGTCAGGCTGTTCAGCTGTCTTTTTATACATTTTTTAGGGCAGCTTTCCTGGCAGCCAGGAGACAAAGCAATAAACAGTATTCATTGGTTAACTTAAGTGACCTTAAAGCCCATTGGAGGGCACCCCACCTGTTTGTAGGTGATTTCCCCTTTGATTTCCTAACTAATAAACATTGGGCCATCTGCAGGTTAGCTTTGCCTAAAGATTACTGAATACTTCTGCACTTTACAATTTAGCGGTCACAGGCTTGTGCTAGCGTTAGCAAGAAAACCACAGACTGTCAGCTCTGAGCTTTTCCTGTGACAGACTGCCAGCTCTGAGCTTTTCCTGTGCAGAGGAGAGGTTGGCCAGCTCTCAGCGACCCCTCCTCATGCAACCACATACTCATCTCTTCTTACCCAGGTGTGAGGTGACCCCTCACCCAGCGGCCCTATGAAAACATGTTTTCGTGGAAAGTTCCATGCTCTACTGTAAGCTATTTACTTTAGCTCCTGCAGCTCAGCTGTGCTCATGGGTGCAAAACATCCTGTGCATCTAGCAGGTCCTGGGGAAGGGGGGAGTAAAGTGTACCCCTAGGCATAACAGCTTTTAAGATGGCTTTACTGTAGCTAAGTTAGAGCAAGCTAGGTGTACAGAAGCAGATTGCACAAGTTAGTATTCTTCATCAACACAAAAAAGAATGTTAGATTTGCAATGTTCAAACATGGAACTAGGTAATTTATAAGGAAACAATATCTATTGCTTTCATTTTTGGAGGCTGGGAAGTCCAAAGTCCAGGGAACACATTTGGTGAGGGCCTTATCGTGGTGGTGACTACAGAAACTCCGGTTATCACATGGTGAATTTAGTGAAGCAAAAAGATAGAGACTCTCACTTGCTCTCGTTTTAAAACCTTCAGAACCTTGCATATGAACCTTGCATATGCCCTTACAATGTAATCACCTCTTCAAGGCCCCACCTTTCAATAATCATAGTAGGATTTCCCACCCTCTAAACACAGTCACAGTGGAGGCCAAGTTTCTAATACCTGGAACTTTGGAGGACACAATTTAAGCTTTAATGAGATTGGCGGGGGCAGGGGGAAGGCAGGGAGCATTCAGTCCATAGCACATGTTATAATCTATGTATTATGAAGTGTTCAGCTAAAGTTTCAATATTTCAGACCATTAGGCAGTTTTTCCAAGAGAAATTGGCAACCATGGTTTCTGCCAATATCCTCTAATACTGCAAAAATTGTGCCCAATCTTTAGCAAGTATATATCTTTCATGAACAATTGTGCCCAATCTTTAGCATATATATATATATATATATCCCCTCCTGTGTTATTTTGTGACCTCAGTTAAAACTAAGGCTTGTCTTACACTCTGTTTTGTGTCTGTCACAGCCATATATATAAATTCTCAACAAATTGTTGCTGTTGTGGCTACCTTTTAGAACAGTTCAATATTGGCCCTATTAATGGAAGTATGGGCTTACCAAGAATATATATTTTATTAAAGGAAAAGGGTTCAACTGCCAGCGTGTTTTGGATGGAAGTGGACTCATCTGGTAGGCTGGTTAATTCTGCTTTTAAAGTTGGCTTTTCCTCTGAATAGTGTCAACAATAGCCCTGCGCATTTGAGTCAATGCAGTTATGTCCTTCTGGCTGTCAGTTTTCTTGCACAACATCCTTTCTCAGAGCTGTGTTGTGCAATACATTCATGAGAAAATATAAACGCGGTCTCTGGCAGGGATTTAATGTAAAAGTTTTTCCAGTGATACAAAATATAAGAATCTGAGTTTGTTTTTCAAGGATCACTAAATTTTAGTAATGATTATATCACATTTTCCAAAACGTGTGGCCATTTCTGCTCTCTTTGTCCTGAGTGTTGGTGCACTGGACACTTTTATTGCTGCAGTGTATGAGCATGCTGTTATCTTACCAAACAGAACAGAAACACCTGTTTCAAAAGAAGAAGCTTTATTCCTGATGAACAAGAATATAGATGTTTTGGAGAAAGCAGTCAAGCTGGCAGCCAAGCAAGTATTGCCTTTTATATACTGGCTGGGACATTAAAAAGGAGATTAGCAACTTGGTAAAAGTGTGGGTATTTGGAATTTACAAGAAACTTTCTCACTCCTATTTCTTTTGAGCAGGGTGCACATATCATTGTGACCCCAGAAGATGGAATCTATGGTTGGGTATTCACCAGGGAGAGCATTTACCCTTATCTGGAGGATATACCAGACTCTGAAGTGAACTGGATTCCATATAGAGATCCTCAAAGGTAATGTCTTTAATTCTTGAACAAAACATTGTGATATAGAAAAATACCAGTAGCAAGTTCACTAAGCCTGAGTAGTAATTTTGATGACAAATAGTCTATGGCATTGGACTTACATGCTTCTAAAGTTTCATGATGTGTGTCATCTGGCATGTCTCTTGCTTGACAAGTGCCTTGAGATAATAACACCTGATTAGTTATCTGTTGCAGTTTTCTTTAAAGAATTGCCTGTTTATACACAAAATTTATAGTAAATGTATTTCATTGGGTTTCAATAATGTGGTAAAGTTGTAATATCTAGGACCGATGTTCCCAAATACAAGTAAGTCGGTTCATCCATAAATACCTGCCTCCTCATAGGAATGTTAAAAAAGATGAGTGAGTCTATGTTTCCAAAGAGCTTTGCTATCACTGTCATTTACAGTGTAATCAATATGGTGAATGGAAATTACACAGGACTTGAAAAAGTACGCATTGTTTCTGAGACCACATTTTACCAACTCCTAGCTGAGTGATGTGAGGCACATAACCTAAATACTTGACATTTCTGTTTATTTATCTGTAAAATAGAGTGTGTTAGTCCGTTTTTATGTCACTATAACAGAATACTTGAAACTGGGTAATTTATAAAGAACAGAAGTTTATTTGGCTAACGATTCTGGGACAGCTGCATCTGGCGCAGGCCTCAGGCTGCTATTACTTGTGGTGGAAAACGGCAGAGCAGCCTGTAGGTGCAAGATCACAAGGCAAGAGGAAGCAAGAGAGAGAGGGGGGAGATGCCAGGGTCCTTTAAACAACCAGCTCTCACAGGAACTAAAAAAATGAGAACTCGCTCACTGCCTGCTCCTCCCAAGGGAGGGTATTAATCTATTCATAAGGGATCCATCACCTATGACCCAAACAGCTCCAAACACTGCCACATTGGGGATGACAGTTCAACATGAGCTTTGTGGGGGACACCGTACCCAAACTCTGTCACAGAGATAACAAAATTTTCTCTCACAGAATAGACATAAGTGTCTTACAGAGTAGACATAAAAGTCAAATAAAGTAATAGACATGGAATCTGTGCACTGTAGTGCTCTCTCCAATGTTAGCTGTCACTACTACCTTTTTTTTGTTGTTGTTTTTTTTGTTTGTTTGGTTTTTTTGTCTTTTGTCTTTTTCCGTGTCCGGCAACGGATCGCAACCCTCAGTGTTGCCCCCATACCGGACCGGGGACCGGCAACGGGATTGCAACCCTCGGTGTTGCTCCCGCGCCTCGCTCAGCCAGTGAGCGGGAACCGGTCTGTATGTGGGATCCGAAGTTGTTGTTTTTTTTGTTTGTTTGGTTTTTTTGTCTTTTGTCTTTTTCCGTGTCCGGCAACGGATCGCAACCCTCAGTGTTGCCCCCATACCGGACCGGGGACCGGCAACGGGATTGCAACCCTCGGTGTTGCTCCCGCGCCTCGCTCAGCCAGTGAGCGGGAACCGGTCTGTATGTGGGATCCGAACCCTCGGGCGGGAGCGCCGCCGCGCTTCCCAAGCGGTGCACTATCCAGTGCGCCACCGGGCCGGCCCACCTTTTTTTTTTTTTTAACAGAATGATCTGAGTCTGAATTTTGGTTTCTGTCCCTAGAGAAATTTTAGTAATTATTAGTAGCCGTAGCTTAGGCATAACTTTCTTAAAGAAAATATGTATAATAAATAAGATAGATCTATGAAATAGATTACTTTAGGTGCAGTTAACTGTAAAAAAAAGTACATACGTTTTTAAAGTTCATATGTAATTCCTTAAGTTAAATGGTGAAACTGATGCTTTAAAAAAGTAATTTAATTTGCAAATTTAGATTTGCATGCACCTGTTTAGAACTACATGCATTGTGCAAAAAGAGGAGCTTCTGACCAGATGATATTGACTGGAAAGGCAAGTCCAATGCTACAACATTGGAGTTTTGCTATGTGAGTCAAGCCTTATCCTGGGATTTTCACCCCTGGCAAAATATTCTCTAAATGTTGCATGGTCTGTGTTTACAGAAACCATGTAACTATGACTCAACATCTACTTGCTTATAAGACTTTTTCCAGAGTAGAAAAGAATCATTATTTGCTGTAATTTGAGAGGCTTATACTAAAATATACTCTGTTTGGCGTGGCTAATAAAACTGATTTTTTTAGGGAAAAGATATTCATAAACCTGATAATTAGCCTTAGATGAATTACTTTAAATTGGGAAGGTAAGTGATTGGTGAAACTTTTACATTATGCAGTCTTACAGACACTTATTCAAATGGCAAACTTTCTGTGTTATAGAAAGGAGATAATCCAGTATTTAATATAATGGTAATACTGGATAAGAAAGTCATAGTTTCTTCCCTAGTCACATTTATCCCTGATAACAGAGGGCCATGTAGTCGTCCTTGTGTGTTTAAATACTATTTAGAATGCTGACATGTCAAGCACTTCCATGGGCTTTTTTCATGAGAAACTAATAAGAAAAACTGAAGAACCTGAATTATTTGGCCAAGAAAAGAAAAACTAAACAAAGTACATGATAGACTTGTTAAAGATCTTAATGAATATGAATATTGATAGTATTTTCCTGAAGGAAAAAAAGATCTAAATCAGTAGGTTATTAATCTGTCCTTTTTATTCAAAGATTAGCTCAACATCAGAGCAGAGGGGCTGAAAGATATGGAGAGAATCTGAACAGCCTCTGAAAGCAATAAAGCCGTCACTACCTTGGGTTGCCTTTGTATAAGTACAAAACGCCAAATAGCCATTTTTTAATTTATCGAGCACTGACTCGGTCCCAGGAGCTGTACCTGGTATACTATGCACATTATCTCACTCACTTTACGTAGTAAGTGTCACTATTTGCATTTTAAAGATGAGGGGGAAGAAAGGAGCTTTTAGGTCTCATAATTGGTAATTAGATGGCTGAAATTAAAATAACCATTTCCAATAAGCCATGCTAACTGAATGGACTCTGAGTACTTGGATGTGCTGTATTACACTGATATTTTCAGTGACTAGTGAATCCATTTATTTGACAGTATGGGCTGGTTGGTTAAAAGTTTTATCTTATTTTCTGCTGAAATCTTCCTGCTTATGACTTCCTTTCATCCATATTCTGTACTCTATAGAACATTCACATACATGATCCATCTTCTTCTAATTAAACCCTTGATTTGGAGCCAGCTATCATCTTGTCACATTTCCTTCTTATTTCTAGGATAAATATCCCCAATGTGGATGGATTTGGCATTACATTGAAAACAATTTCATGTCTGTACATATCTCAGGATTTTTCATGAAGGCCTGTGAGGCCGAAAGGAAGCTGTTACTTGCATCTGACAGATGAGGAGAGTAAGCCTGCCATCAAAGTGCTTGTTTGTTTGTTTCTATTCCCACTACATAATGTCACATTTGTTCTCTAGGGAGAATGATCTACATGGGACCAACCATTTACTGCCACCTGGCATTTGTGCTTCCAACCACACATCATATCAGCAAATTTGTAAGATTACGGCTTGGATTATAGAAACAGTCCTCCCCATTAGAAGATTCTGCCAAATTTCAAGCCCTTCATTGACCTTCCTGGGAGCTCTTTATAAGAGAAAACGTTGCTTCTTCCCCTCTTCCTCTTCCCCTTCCCTCTTTTCTGTGCTTCTGTCTTGCACTGCTCTTTGGAGCCTGGCGTATTTCAATAGGTCAGCTTTCATAAAGATGAGCACTCTGCTGCATGTTGAGTTTTTGACCCTTTTCTGTTGATTCTTGACCTAGGGGTTATTGTGTTACAGGTAACAGCCAAATAAAATATCTCTTTGGTATTTTAGAAATCACTAAAATACAAGTTTGAGGCAATATCTGTTGAATTAGGTTTGGCTACACACCAGTGCAAGAAAGACTCAGCTGCCTGGCCAAGGACAACTCCATCTATGTTGTGGCAAATATTGGGGACAAGAAGCCATGCAACGCCAGTGACCCTCAGTGTCCTCCTGATGGTCGTTACCAATACAACACGGATGTGGTGTTTGATTCTGAGGGTAGGCTGGTGGCACGCTACCATAAGGTGAGAATTACATGTGCTTTAGTTAAACTTGATTTACTTCTTCTGCTTGTTTGTAGTATGTATGTATGTTTGTTTGTTGAACACTAGGGAGCGAACTGTTGTAAATGTGTCTCTTAATTGTTATATTCTAGTTAAAAAGGGGATTTACTTTAATCTCATGAAAGAGTTCTGAGTTTGATTTAGTTATAAAACAGAATATGGCAGAATATTAAAATGAATGTGATAATAACCTCACAAAGACTTTAGTATTCTCTGAGAAAGGAGACATGCTTTGTTTCATCTATAATTTAATACCACAGTTAGTTTTTTGGCCCAATTTGTTAACATTTCATACTAAGCCACCAATTATTCCATGAAGATTTTTTTTGATTGCAATGAAACAAAGCCCTAACTGAAATTGGCTTTTAAAAAAGGCGGGGGAGGCCGGCCCATGGCTCACTCGGTAGAGTGCGGTGCTGATAACACCAAGGCCACGGGTTCGGATCCCATATAGGGATGGCCGGTTTGCTCACTAGCTGAGCGTGGTGCTGACAACACCAAGCCAAGGGTTGAGATCCCCTTACCGGTCATCTTTAAAAAAAAAAAAAAAAAAGGCGGGGGGATTCCCTTGCTTATGTACCTGAAAAAATATATATCCTAGAACGAATAGGTCTTGTTTCAAATGCCATCTGTCCCTGAGAGGTTCAAAAGGTTCATCTATCCTTCCAGCTCTCATACACCTTTGTTACAGCTTTTTCTCAAGGAAACTCTACTTTGGGTAATATGGACATTTTCACAATGTTAATTCTTCCAATCCAAGAGCATCGGGTATCTTTCCATCTTCTTGTGTTCTCTTTAATTTCTCTCAACAGAGGTTTATAGTTCTCTTCGTAGAGATTTTTCACATCCTTGGTCAGCTTTATTCCTAAGTATTTTTTTTTTCTTTGGTGGCTATTGTAAATGGGCTAGCTTTCTTGATTTCTTTTTATGCATGTTCACTGTTGGAGTATAGAAATGCTACTGATTTTGGGGTGTTGATTTTGTATCCTGCAACTTTGCTGAAATCATTTATGAACTCTAGGAGTTTTTTTTTTTATAGAAGCTTTAGGCTGTTCAATATATAGGATCATATCATCCACAGAAAGGGTCAGCTTGACTTCATCCTTTCCAATCTGGATGCCCTTTATTTCCTTCTCTTCTCTGATTGCTCTGGCTAGTACTTCCAACACTATGTTGAATAGGAGTGGTGAGAGTGGGCATCCTTGTATAGTTCCTGTTTTTTAAGGGAAAAGCTTTTAGCTTTTCCCCATTCAGGATGATATTGGCAGTGGACTTATCATATATGGCTTTAATAATGTTGAGATACTTTCCATCTATGCCTAACTTGTAGAGAGTCTTTATCATGAAAGGATGTTTAATTTTGTTAAATGCTTTTTCAGCATCAATAGAGATGATCATGTGGTTTTGTCTTTGCTTTTATTAATGTGGTGTATCACATTTAT